TTACCTTTGACACCAAACAACAATATCAAAATGATATAGTTTAAAAATATCCCGAGTTTGCATTTTTTGTTTGCATTTTGTTGAAAATTAATAAAATCTTAAGAGACTATAAAAATGCCAATAAAATTTTTAGTTACAAAAGGAATCTCAATGGTCTTACAAAATATCAAGATTTATGGATTTTGGGAAACCTAAGGAAAGAACTTGATAGGATCTAAATAAATGCCATCTGAAATGTAATCCCACAATCTGAAATGTAATCTCACAATATCCAAAATGCACAGTGAAAAATGAAGAAAAAACCCTGCTTTGTTATGGCTCCATCAATATCCTAAACTGTAGAACTGTATGCGTTTCATTGCCTTGATGACCACATGCCACATACACACAAATATTTAAATAGCCAAGGACCTGATGGTTTATTTATTATTATTTTTTACTATATTTATATCCCGAGTTTATCTACCTGGATGGGACTCAAGGCAGCTTACAGATAGGCAATTATTCAATGCCTTCACAACAATATACAATTAAAATACATTAAAATTAAAATTAAATACATTAAAATATTATAAAACATAATTAACATGGTTATAACGTATCTTTGAGAAGAAAACATTTTTTGTATTTCTTTAGCCTTTGAATACTTTATTTCACTGAATGCCATTTTAAAGCACTGCGTATCAGTAGATCAGAAGGTCACACAATTGATATCAGTAAGTTTACTCTTTCTTCTGATCCTTAAAGTTCACCACTGCATAGATTCAGATCTTAGTAAAATTGAAAGCAAGTGCTCAAAGTTTGCCCTGCTGTAATTTATTTCTTAGGGAAAACCTGAACTGAATTTTAAAAACAAAAGCCCTGTTACCTTGCCAGGAAAAAAAAAAGATGGTAAAGAGTTTGCCAATTGCTAAAACCAGAACTTGTATTATTCAATGGGGAACAGGACAAACATACGAGTGAACTTTGCTGTCTTGTATGCAAGAGAAATGTGCAGAAGATCTGACATTATACATTAAAAACAATGCAGATGACTTTCACTTCATAAAACCTCTTGTAAGCACCTGGAAAATCACAATGAAGTGTGACCTAGATTTATGACCTTCATTGCTCTTATGCTACCTCTAAATTGATTTCAGTGGATTATTAAATAGGTCAGACTTGACACTTAATCAGTCAAAAGGACTAATACTAAAAATAAGTGCTTGTCTGGTGCCATGTGATATATTTAAAAGAATCACGACCACAAAATATCCAATTTATTCTTCCACTGAGAAAGAAAAACTTACCTTATAACATATGAAACAACTTTTTTTAGTGTTTGAAGGGTACATATATTTGCCTTTAAAATAATAATAATAATAATAATAATAATAATAATAATAATTATTATTATTATTATTATTATTATTATTATTATTATGTATACCTCACTTTCTCACTCCACAAAGGAGACTCAAAGTGGCTAAACAGGCCTACACAGCTCCAAAACATGTTTATTGGTGGACTCTTTTTGTAACATCTACAGACTGCAAAATCTATGTGTACTTCAAATGTATGTATCATTAGACAGTGCTTGAATCCCACTGACTAAAGCAGACCTGCACAACATGTGACCTGTGGGTCAGATGTGGCCCATAAAGGACTTCCTTGTGGTCTGCAGAGGCTCCAGACTTAAGTCTTTAAGAGGGAGGTCAGTGAGAGTTCGGTTACTGTAGGGCAGTGGTTCTCAACCTGTAGGTCCCCAGATGTTTTGGCCTTCAACTCCCCAAAATCCTAACAGCTGGTAAACTGGGTAGGATTTCTGGGAGTTGTAGGCCAAAATACTTTGGGATCCACAGGTTGAGAACCACTGCTGTAGGGGAAGTTAAATTGGGTGTTTCATCCCTGGGAAGAAGTGAGTTAAAATGGATGGTCTTTCATTGGAAATAAATGATTTCTATTTCTGGAAATATTTTTTAAAAAAGGTAATCTTAGCTTGGAAAGAACTGATTTCAAAAGAAGTGCTTCCTTTGAAAGTTTAGGTGTTAAAATAGCATACTTCTCTTGGCTTTGTGGACATTCAGTCAGATTAAGTTTGAGCCTTATAGACTTACACTTTGGATTTGGTGGTAAATAAACAATTGAAGTATGTATAAAAGACAAATGAACTGAAATTGTTTTACTTTTCAGTGTCATCCTACAGAAGAAAAGTTTGCTTGCACCTTTCTTTGAGGCAGAGAGTTTGACTCAAGGCTAAGCAAGTGTGACTGAAGACAACCATTTATTAAAAAGTAGCTTATGTACTGGGTAATGTCCAGGTATGCATTTTTCAATGCTAATTATTAGATGTACTCATTGTTAGTGTTATAATTTTATGATTGCTAAATTGTACAAGCTTGAAAGCATTTTCAGGTTTTCTTCCTGTTTACATTTACAGTTAATTATCAAAGTATTTTTTTCATAATAAATAAATAAAAATCTTACATGATATGTTTAATTAATTGATATTAACTGAAACTTCTCTTTTTTATAATATGATTTATTTTCATAATAGCATATTCATTAATTATATCTTTACTTGGAAAGTGAGGTACTAAAAAACTATTTGTATTTTTAATTTTGGGCCCTAATTATTGCCAGGTTGTACAGGCCTGGACTAAGGTGTATTTTATCAGTATTTTACATGTATTAGAACTGTACAGATTTTTCTCTCTCCAAATGGCTCTAAATGAATCAAAATGATAATTCTGGAGTAAAATAATTGCATGTGTTCCATGGTCTGTCTATCTATCTATCTTCCATACACATATCTTCTATATGTATGTGTGTATGTGGCTGAAATGTCCACTTACACAGACAAGCTCCTGCCTCCACAAACTATAACTCCTACCACTAAGGAAACACCAATCTCCCTCCCTCCAATGACATTGCAGGTTATAGTGAATGTCATGAACATGTCCAAGAAACCTGCCGGTGTCCGCCACAAACACAACACTGACCTAAACCTAAGTGAAGGCTTTCATATGAGGACCATTTCATCCTAGATTTTGTTTTTCCTCCACCACAGAGATCCCAGTATTTCTTTTTCTTTTTCCATTTTGTGCAATTTACATGACCTCACCCACTGCCTCTCCCTTAACCCTTCCCTATTATTTTCTATGGTGCACAGCAAACAGAGGCATTGATCAGCAACTGAACATACTAGAGAAGTTTGGGGTGAAAAGTCAGTGTTTATATATATGTATGTGGGTATGTATGTATGAGACAGTGCAGCTACTTCCACAGGCCACTGCAACCCCCACGAATGACAGACCTGGACCAAACTTGGCACACAGACCTCTCATGACCCACTTTAATGTCCTGGTGTGGTTTGGTGGAGGATAGACCATGGATGATGGGATTTGTAGTACCTTTGCCCAATTCAGCACCAACTTCAACAGACCACTATGACCCCTACGAATAATGGACCTGCAATAAACTTGGCACACAGACTTCACATGACCAACAGAACATACTGCAGAAGTTTGGGTAAAACTGACCTTGTTAAGGAATAAATATATTATAAAGATTCTAAGCGAACTGTCCAAACATAAATCTGAATTTTAAAGAGCTATATGGCTTTGATTCCCAGAGCTATTATCTATATGAACCACTTAGTGTGAAAGGATGATGAATCGGCTCCATAGTGGCTAAACAATGCATGGAACAGATCTGGGCTAATGTGAATCAAAGCTGCTTAGCGAAGCTTTGAATCACATTAACAAAAATTGTGGGTTGTTCTGAATTCTTCCTGAAAATACAAATTAAAGTGCCACTTTGGACCCATATAAATGGTTGGGCCAGTTATGAAATGGAACTGGCTGCAAATGTTTACATGGCCACTCTGGATCAGCCTTTGGATAAGCACTTCATGTAGATCTGCCCCTAAATACTTAAGGTAAGGATTTTTTTTCTCACTGGTACCTCACAGTTCATTAATACTTGGCAAGTGAAACCTGCTGCCATTGCTCCTGTTAAGGATATTGTGGGTAATCAAAGAAAGCTGCTTGTGAAAGTAGTAGATGTATATAGGAACTACACTTGTATGGGAATGTCCAAGTGCCCATGACTGATTTCTTTTAATGGGGTAGGCTCAGCATAATCAAAACCAATTGCCTAGAAGAATGGTTGATCCTGCATTCCCTGGAAACAACCCAGGCATTATGTTCACCAAACTTTTAGCGATGTGCTTCCTCATATTGCGATGCTAATTATTGATGTTAGGGATAACAGACAAAATGCTGGCAGACCTGGGTCACAATCCTGTTGCTTTGATTGCCACTGCTGTTAGACCACTGCCCAGGCCCGTAGCCAGGATTTCGATTCGGGCGGGGCTGAGTTTGTTTCGGGAGGGGGGGGGCTGAGTCTGAGTGAAAGAGGGTCTACCCTAGCAAATCTTTTGTATCGTTACCCCAAAACCCCCATGCGTATGGGATATATTGAGTATGGTGATCAGATCATGATATGAATAAACATAACAGTTTAAATAATGCACCAGTAAGGCTTTTTTGTGAACCACCATGAGAATTTCAGGGGGGGAGGGCTGAAGCCCCTCAAGTCCCCCCCCCCCCCCCCCCCCCGGCTACATGCCTGCCACTGCCACGTCTATTGTAGTGGGGTTGGTTTAATTTCCTACAGTGGCAGTAGCAATGTAAAAATATGATTGCGGCAGGATTACTGTAACTTTTTTTTTGCTCTGTTCAGCACTACATTTTACAGTAGCTGCTAGAAGTGGAATCATGCAATCAATAAGGCACTGGTATGATATACTGCCTCTACAAATATGTACACACTAACAGTGGGACTGATATAATTAAGTTGCCACTGTTAATATACAGTTGGAAGTAATGGCAAAAATATAACAACAAATTCCTTAATAGTAAGCCCGATTTTCCAAAATCTCTGAAGAATCAACATTTCTTTTGTACCAACACTCTGTCATCAACATTCTTAAAGTACTAATAAAATGCATTCCTTACCTTGCCATCCAGGTTTACATACAGGCTTGACTTCTACCCGCACCAAAACATCTTCAGTTGCACGCTTTTGCCCACAATCAAAGGCTGTTACCATTACCTCATATAGATGCTGTTTGTCATAACTCAGCTTCTCAGTGTTTCTGATGTTTCCTGCAGTTGGAAAACACATCAATAAACATCTGTTACTTAATTTTGAGGGTGCCAGGTTCATGAAACGAGTAATAATTATAGCCTATAGTAGTACTAAAAGTGTAGGCAAAAAAGGAAGAGGAATGGACAACTTTTTCATACATCTCTTATTAAACTGTCTTTTCAGCTAAGATGGTTTGGTTATTATTACTGTACCATAATACATAGGGTCAGGCAAATTACTATTGTATTCAGGATGTGGAATGAGACCTTGGGATTTGTTACATCATTTTTGAAAAGTTAAATAAGACCCTAAGTAATTATAAATGGAAATATATTCAGTGCAGCCTTAGTGAAAACCAACTCATATTGTGTTTCTGATGTTAAGGACAAAATTCTAGATTTCAGATTTGCTGGTTCAGTGGCTACAGGATATGACAACAGCCCTTCCACATGTGGAACATTAAATACAAAAGAGTATAAAATGTAACTCACAAACTATTAGAAAACAGAGAAAGTTGAGAAGTGTCTATGTAAGAAGTATAAAAAAGATATAATAAATCTGTAAAATTATCAATTGGTCAAACTAAAACTACACAATCCATTATTATGAATAACAATATCGGGTAAGGTCCAAAAGATATAAAGCAAGGTTGAAAAAAATATATAGGAGTGAAAGGTTTTGGCAGAGCTTCATTCAAAGTGAGGCTACCACGGATCTTCATTAGTTGTCTATGAAGTTCTAGTGTTCTCCAATTCTTCTGTCCAAACTGCAAACAAAACAGTATATGTATTTTACAAAATAAAATACCTCTTCTCTTTCATACCCATAATGTGACATCCAGAATAATCATGGGATCAGGCAGCTCCCTTTCTGTTCTTCCTGCATATATACTGTAGTAATAAGGTCAGGTGGAGGGGGGATAATTTCCTTAATCTCTTCTACAGTGAATCTAACCAACTTTTAAAAATGATACAATTTTGCACTACCAGATGAAAAATAACATCCTCCAGCAACAAAATCAACCTGACAGAAACATAAATGTGACAAATCACCTGTCCTAGTAACAAAGAAATAGCAGCGCTCACAAGAAAATAGGTGGATGGAAATGGAAGTTATACCTTCTGGAAAGATTAAGGATCTTACTGTTCTAAAGCAGTCTCTGTAATTAATGTTCAGCATTTCAATCCCGACTATTTTTGCTGAATGACAGTTCCTTTTCAACTGATCATCACATGTGTTTAATATACACTTCATATTATGTGCACCAATGGATTAAAGCTTTCTGAAGTCAACAAATGTTTAATCTTTCTCATATCCTGAAGCTGTTCTCTTATTTCTTCATTGTGTATTCAGGTACTATCTGCTATATCCTACATCCTGACTAAAGTGGATTGTTGTTGTTGTTCATTCGTTCAGTCGTCTCCGACTCTTCGTGACCTCATGGACCAGCCCACGCCAGAGCTCCCTGTCGGCCGTTACCACCCCCAGCTCCCTCAAGGTCAGTCCAGTCACTTCAAGGATGCCATCCATCCATCTTGCCCTTGGTCGGCCCCTCTTCCTTTTGCCTTCCACTTTCCCCAGCATAATTGTCTTCTCTAGGCTTTCCTGTCTCCTCATGATGTGGCCAAAGTACTTCAACTTTGTCTCTAGTATCTTTCCCTCCAGTGATTACATGGATTACATGACTAAAATAGTTTAGCAGGGATTTTTAACCTTTGGCTAGCTGAATCACTGTAGCATTTAGCTCTTTAGTTTTAAAACCATTTGGTCTGAAACAAGCTACAGCTACTTTCATATTGTATATGTGAAAGTAATGAGGTGTCTATATGCAGTTATAACAGTTGGGTAAATTTAATTGCCATAATGGTGTCCACTGGAACATGGGGAGTTGTAGTTTCTACTCTACTTAGAGTTTTAACATTGTAGTCCAAGGGAGTGTTTTTTTAAAAAAAGGTACTTCCAAATTACTAATCCTAGGATTCTGTAAGAAGGAGTCAGATAGTTAAAGCATTATCAAACTGCTATAATTATGCAGTAAAGACAGTCTGAAAAAATATAGAGAAAAGATCTTGGAGATATCACTTTTTATCCTGATTTTAAGCTTTACTGTACCAACAAAGCTACACTTGAGAACAATAATATACACATTTTGCCAGTAGAAGCGGAAGAGTGACCTTTCCATGAAATGTAATGATGCAAATATTACAGGCTGGGTTAACAGAAATTAATTTCTTAAGCTTATTTCTTTTGCATGAACATATTTAGTGTACATTTGCATATGTTTTGCCTACTTAAATTTGTAGAACATGAATAAAGATAAAAACAATTTATCACATGAAAATTCTACATCTTTCTATGACTCATACATTGATTATTGATTTCCCATTTCCCGCCCAGTAGACCTGGCTTGAAATGAAAGTTTGAGCTTCAGAGATTATAAGCTTGCTTCAGATACTGTCAGCTGATTAATTCATCTTCATTCATCCCATACAGATTCCACAGCCTTTCTGCCATTTGCTTTAAAACATACTGCAGTTTGATCTGAATACTAATTCTTAGCAAATACTAAGCTAAAATTTAAAATTATTTTCAAAGTTTCAAAACTTTGAATCTATTCAAAAACCAATATTTTTAAGTACCTAGTGAAAAAAATCACACAATATCTCACTCTTTCCATCTCCATTTGCTTCTATTTTTTTCAAAACAATTTAACTAGATAGAAAAGACATGTGAATGATTTTCTAAAATCCCATGCACACTTTCTTGGGAATAACTGGAAATGTCTATGTACTACATATTAAATATTATGGGAAAAAGTATGTCAACACCAGCTTGGTGATTTGCTCCATGAGTATGTTGGGAACATAAAATGGCTTTGGATCCAGAAGATCCAAGGTCATCCCAACATAGTACTGTACAGGAAACACACATGGTACTCCTATGCTCATAGGTATTTCTGGGAATTTTTAAGAAATATAAAAGGTGAATATTGTCCCATGGATAGACCTCTTTCCTAAAAGAAAATGAATTTTCTCTCATTTTCCTCCTTATCCTCCTCAGTCAGCTATTATTACTCTTCTAGTGTGGAAACTTACCTGCATGAAATATGTTAGATTGGGTTTAAACATGGCGAGAGAAATTTTATAATCATTGACAGCAATTAGGCAATTAGTCACAACTATGATTGATTTTAATGGGATGAACAACTTAGTTTGATGTAGCTTGCTAAGCTTCTCTTTTAATTGCATTGTAGAAGCAAACACTTTCTACAAATTGCCTAATTATAAGATTCTCATTAAGTGTATGTTTAGCACTCACAAGACTGGCACCCCTTTCTTCACCAAGTAAATGATCTGGCAATTTAGATTTTCTTCATCAGTGACAAACAAAAACAAGACAGGATTACTTTCACTGAGAGGTCAAAATGGTCAATCACATGAGGCCAGAATTCAAGGAGCAAAACATTGTCAGATTAATTCTGTGAACAACACCCCCCGCCCACTCACTCAGAACCCATAATACAGCAATTGGATTTCTACTAGCCATATGTGGGAATCAATACAACTCTTGGAGACACAACTGAGCTGGTTCAAATCTTTGTATGTTTGCTACATTGAATAAATGTTAACTGACACATAATAACAATAACATTTATTTATGATGCTCTTTTCACCACGCAGCTAATAAGGAATGAATTGGTGCAGTGAATGAATGAATAAAAAGCAGGATAAAAGGAATTGATAGTGTTGCTTGCATATGGTCCTTTCAAACCACACGATATTATAGTGTCACATTTATTTATTTATTTATTTATTTATTTATTTATTTGCTTTATTTCTATACCGCATTTTTCAGCCCAAACAGGCTGAAACATTTCACTTTAACTTTCTGTGGAATTCTGAGAGTAACACTTTAGGGAGGCCAATTAGAATTTTCAGCCAAATAAATCCAGTGATTGGCCAGTCAATAAACTCCAAGATTCCATACGATTGAACCATTATAGTTAAAGTGGAATAATAGTGCTATAACTGTGTAGTGTGACTGGGCTGCAAAAAAATGGATGCTCATCTATATGACTCTTCACAGTTGAACAGCGTGAGAGGACATGTAATGGTTCTTTCATGTGACCAAATGTATTTACATCCTGTTGAGAAATGCCAAACCTCTTTCACTGATTTTTGCTAACTATAATTATAATGTATTCCTTGTTGCCGTTGTTGCCTCCAAGCTAAATAAAATTATGCTCTATTTTATACACTTCTTGACTCATGCCTTTTTCTGGTGGGGATAATACTGTCAGTTACTTGTTTGTAATATTATCTGCTTATTATTTTTGGTACATTTCATTAACATTTCCTTTTATGCATATTCCTTTGTGCTCCTTTATTTCTTTGTAAAGTTAGTTGCTCTATGATCTGCTGAACAACTCCCCAGACACTGGAGTTGATTAAAGAAACATTAACAAGTTTCTAGATCTTCCTTAGAATATTTGCTTCTGTAAATCATTACAGAATTAATTACAGCTCTTTTAGATTTAGTGTGAATTAAATATTCTTAGACATGTAGTGCAAAAAAAAATCTGAATATTTCAGGAGTCAGATTACTAAAAGAAGAACATGTGGCAACATAAGAGTGCTGATTAGTAGGGCTGGGCAGTTTCGTTTCGTTAATTCGTAATTCGTTAATAATTCGTTAATTTTTTAATTACAAAACGATAACGAACCATTCTGGAGCAATTTTTTTAAAAACGAATTTTTACATAGTTTTGTAAATGCTTCGTATTTCGTTATTGTATTGTTTCGTTATTGTTTTGAGGTCGTTTCGTTATTATTTCCGCATGTCTGGGGCAAGTTTTATGGTTGTTTTTTGTTTAATTAGTGAAAAAAAATTATAATATCACACCAACAGTCAACAACAGAGGGAGAGGGAAGCTTCAGAAGTTTTTGGAGGTTTTTTAGCGTATTTCGCGGTCGCGTCCGCCATTAACGAATCGATTCGTTATTGTTTCGGAAATCGA